TCTTTATTCTGAAGTAACTTGGGTACATTCATTTGAAACCAAAAATATATCTACTCGTTGTGACTTTAAAGAAGGTGAAAATATGAAGTTAGATATGAAGGTTACACACAGTTTCTCTCAATTAGATTATTCTGAATGGTCCTCTCAAGATTATAAGGATTGGAAAGCCACTCTCTCTTACACAATCAAGGACAGCAATGGAGATGCCATTTGTAATTCTAACTCTTTTATTCTCCCAATCACTTACCCTCAATTTATTGAAAAGTTCTCTCATAATTACACATTAAGGTTGGAAAGTAGTGTAACTTGTACTCAAATTCTAAATAAGCCAACCATTAACATTGAAACAGATTTGTACAATATTGTGGCTGCTTGTAAAGTTCAAAAGTGTGTTGCCCATGCCACTTTATTACCTAACATGGAATCCTCCAATATTACAACCATTCTTGCTGGAGCAATTTCTGGTGCAGTTGCAATTATTTTAATAGTTACAGTATTGGTATTCGTTGTTGCTGGTATTTGGTATTACAGAAGAAAGAAGATGAGAAGTAGCAAGTATTCTGTTTATGATTATGCCCACAACAGAGATGATTTACAAGATGCAATGAATGACTTGTTTGATAAGATGAATTCTTCTGATGATCAAATGTCCTCATCTACAGCAACAACAACAAATGTTATGCCAGAATTTGATGATGATGATGCAGATCCTAATGTTATGGTTAATAGTTATGCTGTATGGAATTAATTTTTATTAAATAAATATCATTTATTTCAATCAATGTCAAATGTTAAATGATAACCATTAAAAAAATGCTCAACGTTCCGACAAGTAGCATTAACACAAAACACAAAGCAACAACACTATCCATACTATGCACGCTTGTTGGTTGTTTGATTGTGTTTTTATCTTCTCTAGGATATTTGATTTCGTTGATAGTTTTAATTGTGGAAGGAAAGACATTATTAGAATTGAATGACAAACAGTATGGTACCATGTTGCTAGTTTTTGAGTTTGTTGCCGTGTCATTCTTTCTAATGATGAGTATTGTTGGAATGGTATCAGTAGTGGATTGTACAGCTTCATTAAATTCTACACGTTACTTTTCTATTTGTGCCTATGTGTGGACATTTTCAATACTACTCTCATTGATGGCCATGACTTGTTTAATAGGAGGATATGGCAGTAAATTAGACAGTGTGCTAAACACGACACAACCAAAGGATGATCAAGCAGCATTGAAAACGTACAAATTTTCAGTGCTATACTATTCGAGTTTTGTTGGTGTTGCTTGTACCTTGTTAATTTGTTGTTGTGTACCTTTATTTGTGTGTGGAATTTTGAGGATTGTAGTGACAAGAAAGAATAGCCAAGTGCACAAGTATCGTCCACTTTATGATGGAGATCAAATAATGGACTAACTTATTTTGTCACATTATTACTTGTATTATTATTTAGAGAGAATTATCTTTCCTGTTGAACAATTAGAGAGTGGAGAATTTTGATAAAACAATTTTGCTTTTATATCGTTGTTAAATGATTGATCATATCTAACCATTCCTGTGAACACTCTCGAGGATTATTATTATTGAATAGTGTTAAATCAGCACCTACAAATTGACTAATACCTCTAGTTGCCCACTTGTTAGTACATTCTGACTGGTGGATTGGAATCCCTTCCCTTAAACGTTTAGACAGTTTATATCCGTCCATAATTACCATTAATGCCCACAGCCAATAAAATGGAAGAGCCAGAATTCCAAAGAACACAATACATAAAAAAAAGATTATCATTGTCACTAACATGTAACTAACTCCTTTTCTATCTTGTCCAATTAAGGTATGTCCAAGACCTAATAATATTAAATTGAAAAAGCTCATTACTAGTGGATATGTAAAGAATGAGTTGGATGGTTTTATCCATAATCTTGGATCTGAAAATTGTGAATAGGAATAATATTGATCACTGGGATTTTGTTGTGCATAATGAGGTAGAGAGTATTCATCAATGTAAACTTCATTTGAGAATTTCTGTTTGAAATGATTCATGTGGTTACTCGCTGACAATGGATCACTATCAAATGATATTGATTTGGATAAGTTATTGGGTATTGATCCTACATTCTGTTGTGGTTGTGGTTGTGGAATATTAGTATTGGAAGGAGAAGGTATCAAATGATGACTTGGAATGGTTACAAAAACAGGTTGATAAGCAAAAACACCATTATTGGTAGCTGACTCGGAATGATTATAGGGATTAGGCATATAATAATAATAATTATTAATTCCAGGATGATTGGGAGGAGTTTGTTGTGGAGGAGAGGTGGATGGATTTTGTACAAAATTATTGTTATTATTATTATTCATCATCATGAAAACTCTATCAACTTCCATCATTTCTTGTTGACCATTATTATTAGAATGTTGTTGTTGTGAATGATGATGATTTAGATGATTATTCACAATGATATTTGGTGGCGGAGGTGAATACTGATCAATATTCAAAGGTATTGAATTATTAACCACCTCCATTATTGTTATTATTAACAAGATGAAATTATATATATTGTGTGATGATGAAGATTCGGATGATTCAATCTCCACTACAAAAGTGGCGGAAGATACTACTACTATTAAATTATTTGTTCTCTACAAGAAGAGGAAAACAGCAGCATTCAAAGAAGGTTATGTTTTAAAAAATCAAATAAATTCTACGTGATGATAAAAATTTAAAAAGATGGCCGTTGCTTCATTCAATTTTTTTTTAAATTGCGAATTTTTTAAGCGCTATTAGATTTCCAAATGGTTTCTACTTGGAACTCAATTGGAAGAAAACATGTTTTCTAATTGGAAATTGTAAAAAATTGATAAAAGAATTAAAAAATGTATTGAAAACAATAGTTTTTAAACCTTGAGTGGGAAAATTGGACCATTACTACTCTTCTAAAATTCAGTACACCTTCCTTCACAAAATTCCAACTCGCTCAATTACCTTAATTTCAAATAAAACTCTCAGATGTTAATTTGTGAGATGGGAGTTTAATTTCAGGAGTTTATTAAATACTCTAATGTTCCATCTTTAGAACGGATAAAAAAGTGAATGTGTTTCTCATATTTTTTGTAATGTAATTTTCTATTAGTAAAGTTTGTGTGTGATTGGTGAATTTTTGAATGAATTTTGTTGGTAATTTGATTGATATTTGATAATCTTAATGATGTATAGCTATTCAATCAAGTTGATGGTTTGTAAAATTTTCGTTTCCTTTGAAAAAAAAAATTTTTGTATAAATGCATGTACTTCCTTATTTGTTATTTGAAATTTTACATTGAAGAAGAAGTTGCATGCATGCTACTGTAATCTTCCAATTTGAACCACAAAAAGCAAACAAAATGTGCTCCAACTCATTTGAACTGATAATCCGCTCCTTCTTTTTGTTATCCTAATCATTAAGCAATTCTCTGATAGATATGCTACTTCTCACCTTCCTTTTCTCAACACCAACAGCATGGCCGGTATGCTGTTGTTGAGGAGAAGGAGGAATTGAACCCATTAATGTTATTGAGGTTTCGTTTCTGATTACTAAATTGGAAGAATAATCTTGTCTCGTTTCGGATTTCTCTCTTTCAACATGTTGTTTTTCCATTATTTGATACAGCGAGGGGTGCGTTTCTGTTGTGGATGTGGCTAACGAATCCAACATATTTGGAGGTTTAATAAATATGGGAGTGTAATCTTGAATTTTTTGGTTGGTTTCTAATAATCTGTGGCTTTGAGAACTATTCGAACTATTTACACTACTAATACTACTATTACTAGCATGCAGAGTGCTATGACTTGTTGGTAATGCATCATGTAATATTGTATTGTCTGATTCACTTGCCGAAGAAGATGAACTTCCACTACTATTCGAAAGTACATGTGTTGGCAAAAATCTGCTACTGGTAGCTGAGTTTGATGATAATGATGAAGAAACAACCGAAGTTGGAGTTGAAGCACCAATTGTAGAAGAAACTCCATGCTGTGTTGAAGATGATGCATGTGTAGGTTGTTGCACTTTCCAATGAAACAAGTTTCCCGCCTTATGATTCTCAAAGCATTCTGATGTAATCTGGTTATCAAAGAACATGATATTTACAAACTCATGTTTCTTCTTCTTTGTTTTCTTTATTGCTTTCGTAGACGTATTTGAAGTTTGATTTGGTTTTGTTTGAGAATTGGTGGGAGGCATAGTTTCGTATATTTTTTTTGAAGCCAGATTGTTGTGTGGGTTGAAACTGAATTATGGCGAGAGAATCAGATAAGGTCATTTCGATGTTTCCTTTCACATCCTATAAACACATGTTAAAGCCATCATGAAGGCAATCCTATTCGAAATTTTGTCCTATGTTGCATTTCGCAATTTCGCTCAAACTTACCAAATTGAAAACGTTGTTAAATTACCATAAAGATATCATACAAATACAGAAATATTTTACATAGTTTATTCATCCTCATCTTCAATATATTGTTGTTCCTTGAATTGAGCTTCTTCTTCGGCTTCTTGAGCTGGTTTAATGTAAATAGTTTCAAAAACCATTTCATCTCGCCACTCATTTACTTTATCTTTCAAAAATTCCCATCCAGATGACAAGTCAATAAAGAGTGAGTCATACTTGTCAGGATATTCTTCCATACCCATATCCTTAATCTTATTCCACTTCATGCCATCTGTCACACCAATAAAAGGTGAACCAGCGGTTATGCCGTGGTGTTCTCCAGATTGGTCTTTCTTACCTGGTTCAGAACCTTCAACACCAATCATAATGCCACCATACCTCTTTGGTCCTGGTGACATGTAGTAAAGATAAATATGTGAATGTTCACCAGTTGGTTCAACTGTTGTGTATGAAACTTTTGATCCCTTCTTTGGTCCTTTTTTTCTTGCTTTTTTAGCTTCCTTATAAGGTAAAAATACTGGAAGTTTTTTACCAAATCCACTCATTGAAACGTTGAGTCCCCAATGTCTGTGTTTGAGCATAACTTCTTCCTTGCTTCCGAGGAGTTTGGAATTTCTGGTATTCAATCCTAGTTTTTCCTTAATTTCAATAATATCCTTGAGTTTTTTCATTGTTCCCCTTTGATTGTTTTGATCGGTATAGTTAGCAGTGATTCTTCTCAATTGTTTGACCTTCTTCTTTTTACCACCTGCAGGTGAAGATGGTGATTCTTCATCTTTAATTTCGTCTGTATAATATCCTAAACTGTGAGTTGCTGCTGTTCTTTTAAATAATAAATATCCTTTCTTTGCAGCTTCCTAATTATATTGTATTATAAAATTAATGTTCATCATATGATGATTAATATGTATTTAGCACAATGATTAATATGTATTTAGTGAGTGTGTGATATTGTGTGAATTAATATCATCAAAATGACATTTAAATTTCATTGATAGTAGTAGTTTACATAATAATTATTAAATTATTGATAGAAATATTAAAACTTACACTTCCATTTGTTGTTTCTGGAGTGACTACCATTTCCAAACTACCATTCTCATCACCACACAATAACCAAGTCCAAAAACCATGATCGTGAGAGCTTTCATCCTTTGGTCGAAGTGTATTCTTTAATTTTGAAAAGATTCCCTTCTTTTCAGCTGCCATTGCAGATTTAGGTAATTGAATAATAATTCTAGAACCATGTGACATGGCAGTAGCAATTGGTAAACCCTTCAATTCACTCCAAGGCATCCAATCATTAGTTTTCTTTGATTTTCTATATAATAAATCTCCATAACGTAACACTATAAACATTCTTCTCAAAATATCAATTCTCTTCTTTTCCAAAGCAATTAATTCAAATTTTTCAGTAATATTACTAGCCAATGAAAAATCACTCATAATAACATCTTGATTCGATTGATGAGTAAATACACTCAATGTATTGTACCAATATTCAGCATCCCTTTTAAATTGTGGATTCATGCCCTCTCGCCTCAACTCACACAAGACCAAATCTTTTTTTGAGAGGGTTTGTAAAATATTGGCGGGAATGTTTTCAACAGGTTGTTGCTTCATCATTTCGTAGAGTTGAGAGAAGGTCATGTCGACTGTATCATCACCACCTTCGTCGTCCGATCCATTATTGTTGTTGTTATTGTTATTGGTGGTAGTATTGGTATTAGTATAGTAGGATTGTTCATTGGTTTGACTTGTTGGACTGGAGGCTTCGTATCCATAATCAAATTCGGATAGATGATTGCCTTGTCTTTTATCGACAGAGTTGAACATTTAGTTGTGTGATAGTTGAGAGAGTTTCGTATATGAACGGGTGAAAGTTTGTTTAAAGCTGTTGACCCTGATGGTTTTTGTGTGAACGGAACTTTTTGTTTCTGAATTTTTTTTGATTGTGATTAACTGTCAAGAGTTATGTGATGGGAGACAATTTTGTATTGTTGACTTGTTGAATTTCATCAACTGAAGGAAATCTATTGGACTATGATACCAGTCTCATGCACGAAGGAGATTAGATTCAACGATTATGAAAATTGGTTATTATTATTTACTCAAAATTGTAACAAATTATATTGGCCGTAATATCAAAAATTAATTTCTCTCTTTCAGTTGTGTTGTACAAGATTACAAATTAAAAAAACTTGTGGTGGAATGGCTCATTAGATAGGGAATAGCAAAATAGTGGAAGGATTTTAGAACATATGTTATTGGACAAAGGCTATACTTTCATCAGATCTAGACATTTTCAAATTGGAAGTTGATGAGGGAATAAGAGAGCTCTTGCTGTTTAGCATGTTAATTTGATTGGTTTTTTGTTGTTGAATACCCAAACGAAGACGGTCAAGGAGATCATTCAAAATAATCTTGACTTCCTTTTGAATATCATCGAAACAATCATCATCAGCATTGAGATACTTTCTCCTACACTCAACTATTTGTTTTTTTGTAATATTAAGAGCCAAGCTACCATCTGGATTCACATAGGTATCGAAAATTTTGATAGCCATATCTAATTTACAATCAATTCTCGATTCCTTCTTGTAGGCTTTCAAATCTTTCCAAAAGTAAATTGATTCCTCTGCATATTCATCAAATGCAAATTTGGTGAGAATGGCACAAGCTTTTGGATGCTTTAAAACCTCATCAATATTTGCAAACTTGTCAAAATCCAAATCCATATCTTCCAAGTTACGTTTCAATTCAAAATCTTGTGAAGTTGTTCGGGCTATCATACCATGACGTCTAGGAGAGGAGGAAACAACGCTACTCTCATTTTGAGGAGAGGGAGTGTCTTGAAGAGGACTCGAATCATCAGCAGAAGATGTTGCTATAGATTTGAGTGGTGACCCAACTCCAAGGGAGTTAACATCAACATACTCATTTAGTCTCACTTTTCTTCCGTATAAATCCTCAGCACTAGATGATTTGTGGTGTGGAGACAGCTCAGAACTGAATCCAGTGAATGGGCTATTGTTTCCTCTTGGAGATTTTTTCAAAAGGTTTGGATTATCAAAGGAACCACTCATTGGTGGAGAATTTTGGTGGGAAGGTTGTGAATTCTTTCTAATCTTTAGAGGTACAGATATTTTCTTTCCAAATAAGGATATTGAACTGGCATTTTGCTGTTGGTCTGGTGATGAAGTATCCGTCTCATTGGTTTGGTTGTTGACCAATGCAATATCATCATTTAAAAAGGATTGAACGCAAGCTGAGGAAAAGAATGAGCTTGAACGAGATAGGACTGCACTATTCGAAGTGACTGCATTCGCAGTACTGATGGCACCACCGGTGGCAGTTTGATTATTGTTTTGACTCGACAAGTAAACATCATCCAATAATATTCTAATGTCTCCAACTCGTCCCTTGTTATTATATTCATCTTGAATAACTTTCTGATAGGAAGCATCAAGACTCGATGTGAATTGTGTAACGTTCATAATACTCAATCTCTTTGAACATCTCCTAAAGTTGGTAAATCTGTAAAACTCGTATCGTTTGTTGAGTAATTGTGAAGATTCGTGTGTTACGTGAATAAACAATTTCCTCTCAATCATTTGATTTCCTAATTGAATAGCATCCTCCATTGAAAGATTATTAAAGAGAGAAGTCAATGTTTTAACAGCCTCCTTCCCTGAGAAGCAATTAGCATAACTTGTGAATAGATAGGTATGATCCCTTGGTTTAATTTCTTTTTTGAATTTAGTAAAGTAGAGAAGCAAGTCTTGATCCGAGAGAGGCTTCATCTGTTGTTATTCTGTTGTTGTTATTATTATTTACAATTATGAATGTGCAGACCCGGGTGGTGTTGTATGTAATTATGAATGTATCAAGTTAATTTAGAGTGGAGAAATAGCACTTTAAAAGAATATCAAACTGACTCAATGATGAATTAAATAATACTAAAATTCTATTACTACACAAGAAATGAAAATTAAATTCAACAAAAGGAAATAATAGAAAAACAATAGGAAGCTAATAATTAAACAACAAGCACCAAGAGGAGAGTTTGATTCTTTTTTCAACTCGTTCTTTGCCTGGCAATTTACTTGACATGAATCCAACACTTTTAAATGTCCTTTAGCCATCAAGCCTCACCCTAGTAATAAACATTTGGAAAATGTTAACCTTATTAAAGAGTTAGTTGCCGAAGAATAACGTAATCATTGATTTTTAGATTCAAACCGTAAAAAATATTTTTCCCATCATTCAATAAGATGAGCAAGAGTGGTGATAGTAATAATCAACAAGGAGAACATTTAATTCTACTCTCTGATTTGTCGTATTGTTTTCGTCAGTGTTTTTCGAGTGGTGGATCTATTGATGTTGGAGGAGCAACAATGTTGCCAAAAGACTTGAGTAGAGAATATGCAGAGTGTTTGAAGAATTGTTCCGAATTGAGAAAACAATCAACATTATTCTTGTTAAACCCTCCAAAATATCAGGATCATCACAATGGATAGATGTCTACTAGGAATATAAGATGAAATTTAGATTGGATTTAAAAGGAGGACAAGAGTTGGATGAATTTTATGTTGCAAGAATAACTCCAAGTGTTGGATAAACTTGTTGCCCTTGAGGCACAATTAAAAGAAGTTACATTGCAATGTAACAATAATAATTTAATTCCAAACAATTATATCAAACTTTCATATCCTTTCCTTCTTCTTCGGATGAGAATTACAGTGACAGCAATAATCATAGAGATGAAAAGAACTAGTGTAATTCCTCCGAATAATCCTCCAATAACTGTTGCAATAATACTAGAGTTTGGTTTGATTGGCTTGTGGAGACCACCAAGATTGGTTGAACTTTGGTCATCCACATTGGAAGTCAAATAATATGGAGTGAATTCAAGAGCATCGAGTGGCTTCAACTTTGAAATGATCATATCGTACATTTGAGTTGCATCCATACTGGTTGGGTCAGTTCCCCAATAATTGTAGGCAATATTTATCTTTTTGCCTAAAGGTCCTTCATAGCAAAACTCTGTTGCAATCTCAGATTTGCTTCCAAAGTAATTGGTAAATGTATTTTGTGAGAAGGTCAATACTCCCAAAGCATCTGGTACATTTGACATTTTGACAGTACAAGTATTAATATTATTATCATGGAAATTATTGTGGGTAATATAAGCCAATGATTGGAGTTGATGCAGAGAGAGTATGGCACTTGAACCAGCAACAATTTGATTTCCAACAAAGTCATTCTTGGTAATAGAGACAGATCCAGTAATTGCAGCCATTTCAATTAAGGAGTGACGAGTTTTCAAACCAGCAGAGGTGGCACAATTTCTCACAATGTTATTCACAAATGTGAAATCGACAACATCTCCTTGAGATCCAAAGACTGAGCCTGTAATTTCAGAGAATGTTGAATCCTTAATGAAAACTTCTCCCTTATAACCTTGAGGAATATTTGAAATATATAGACCGAGTGCAGATACTATATATTGTCTATTATCAAATATGGAATTGGTACAATGAACAAATGGTGCAGTGATAGCTCCTCTAAATGCTTGAAATACATTGCTAGACACAACCACCTTACAGCTTGCACTAATGGCACGACTGACACTCTTAAATTTACAATCTGTCAGTGAGATGGTTCTATAAACCAAATCACCGTTTGATGAAATACCTCTATCATCAATGGCAATACCCATTCCAGTGAATTTGGAATCAAAAAATGTCATTTTAGGGAAGGATGTCTTGTCAGTTTGAACTGCTGATATCATGTTAGAGAAAGAGCTTGATTTGATTGAAATGACAATATTACTCGAAACATGAATGCCAATAAAACCACCATCCACTTCACAATTATCCAAAACAATTCCTGTTGAATTATCTCCTCCTTCAAATGAAAAAGTTGCCACTCCAGAGGAGAGTGGAGAGCTCTTCCTAATCTTTGAATTTGTTAATGTTAAAGAACCTTGTTGGGTTCCAATAGGGAATAAGAAACCCCACTGGTCATTTGTACCATTCTGATTATTCAAAATATCATCACTTTTTAGTTCAACTCCCGATTCAATATTCAATCTACCTTCCACTCTTATCAAAATTTGTCCACTTGCTGAGGTAGTTGGAGCAAAGCTCACCACAGCACCTTCCTTAATCACCAAATTTTCACCAACCGGAATGGTAACACTATTTTCAATTTTAATTTGACCATTCCACTCTAAACCGTTCACCATCACAACACCAATGAAACATAATAAAAAGCATAGTTGGATTGATAATATTAAGGTGTTTGATGACAAATTCATTTTTTCTTAATGTGTTTCATTGAGTAGGTTGCCACATATTATTTCTTCACCAATTCAAAAGGAGCGACCTTTTTACTAAGCAAAAAGGAGCGCCATGAACCCTTTTTAGCCTGGAATAATATTATTAATGAAATGATTGGAGTATTATTAAATAAGTTTTTTGTTCAAATAAGCTTGAACCTGGTTGTTCTAAAATAGGTTTAGAAAAATACGTTTACTAGTAACTAAAACCTGGTTGAATTCAGAATTGCATTTAAGCGTCCAGCGATAAATCCGAAATGTGTCTGTCACCGACAAATGCATGAAATGTTCTGAGGTGAGGGGCAATATTTAATACGAAACAAAATCTCAAAATGTATTTAGCACTAACATATCTATATTAGTTTGTTATGAGTGGCGCCTCAATCTGATGTCTATTGAAGTGAAGAAACAAAGTAACCCACCCACTAACAAAGCTTTTTCATAAAAAAACCCAAACAACATCCCATCAGCCATTGAGGATATTCAATAAATTGAACGATGCCAACCCGTATTTTCCCATCAAGATTGGAAATTGAAAGTGTTGGGTCAACTTCTGCTCAAGAAATTGCTGTTTTGAATTCGACAAGGCAAGCATCAATGAGAAGTGATAAAATCAATGTAAAAACAAACAATAGCAAGATTATGATAGTGCCCAGTGCCAGCACAAATGATTCCATTCAAGTAGATGAAAAACGAGGTGATGTGTTTGATAATCCGTTGAGTACCGGAAGGTCAACTGTGGTGGACTGTTTCATGTCAATTAGGATGCTTGTGATTGCTCTCTCGTTATCTCTCTTATTTATTACTTGCTTGATAATATGGATCTCTTCGGTTGTAGTTATTAATCAAGGAGTTTCAATTGATATTTCTATAATTTCCATCATTTCATGGTTGACCTTTGTAGTGATGAGTATCTTGACATTACTTACCATTCCAATTATACATTATTTTACTTTGAAACGACCACTTCAAAGAATTACTTTGCAACTCTTCAAAATGAAGAAGATGAAATTTGAAGATATTGAGAAAATGCCAACTTTGATAGCCGAATTCATTCCCTTCTTTAGCCTCTTTTGGGAATTTAACAAAGTCATGAAGGAAATAAGACCCTTTATTCCAGAAAGCCTCTTTTCAATGGAAGACGACGATTTGGAAAAAGAACAAGATAGACTGGCCGAGGAACATCGTGAGAAACAACTCATAGAGATGAGAAAACTCGTTACTCAAAGAAAACAAGTTTCCAAAACGAGTTTAGTATCAAGTTTTGTTGAAATGAGTTCTGTTGGGGGCCATTCTCATAAGAGCAAGGTTTCACAGGCTACCACATCAATGACAAGCAATCATCAACAGAAAGTTAGCTTGGAATTGGGGCTTTCATCATATGTGGCAACAGTGTTGGTAATTCAATTTAGAAATTTCGATGGAAGAAGCTATCCAATTTCAACTGATTTGTTGGGTGTTTTCACAATGCTATATCAGAAAGTTCAGAGTGTTAGCAAACAATTTAGGGGAAGAGCTACCATAGTGACTCCAAAGATAATTATGGTCAGTTTTGAGAATGGAAGAAGTTTTGAGAAGGGAGCATTGATGTGTGCTGTTCATCTGAAGAAACAAATGGAAGCAGTCAATTCACAACTTAAAGATCAAGTCAAGTTACCAGAACTAGATTATGGAATTGGAGTATCTCGTTCTGAATGTCTTGTAGGAAATATTGGAACTAGTCAGGTCAAGTATTTTTCCTTGATTGGTGAATGCTCTAGCAATGCATTGAAACTGGCTTCTTTGAATGCGACTCTTAGAACAAAAATTCTAACTGATGAATCCATGACAAATGCTCTCCTTTCTGATTTTATTTCAAGACCTGTTCACTTTTCAAAGAGGAATTCAGTTTTGGGAGAAGATATTGCTTTTGATTTGGATGGAAAGACCACCCAGAAAATCATTGAACTTATAGGAGAGGACAAAGTTAATGACGATGAATGGCTCTATGAATTGCAACAAAAGGAAGACTCACAGAAGTATGTTAATTTCGAAGAAGCATTTGAGATGCTCTTGTCTAGTTCAATTAATAGAGAAATGTTGAGAAAATCATTGAATATTATTGGTGATTATGTGGAAAAGGATAGCAAAGATCTTGTTTCAAAATTATTACACAACCATTTGTCAACCTTATTGAATCTAAGAGATGAGGAATTGAGAGAACGTATGAAATCTTTCTGCCTGGAAGATTACCACATTGATCTAAAACTTGAACCAACATTTGTTTTGTAAATATCCCCGGGAAAATAAATTATTGAATTCAGTGATGATTTGATTTTGAACATTGGGAAGAGATTATATGATTGAGCAAAAATTACCATAGTTAGCCTCATTGAATGGCTCCAATTTAGAACAATTTCACAGAGCATGTGATAATAAAGGGCTAACATTGAGGATTACCAAGTCTGGAAAAGATATCTTTGGTGGCTATTCGGAGGTATCTTGGAAGAGCACTGTTACCAGAGTTCGTGTTTTCGACGAAAAGGCAATGTTATTCAGTATTAAATCTGCAAGTGGAGAAGAAAGTGGTCACTGCATAGAGTTTTGAACCCAAAGTCTGCCATTGAAAATTATAAGAATAATGGTCCACAATTTGGTAAAATTCCCGATTTGATGATTCGTGGCCAAACTGAAAAAGATAGTGTTACAGTTTTTGGATCAGATTATGAATGTGTCCTTGGTGAGTCGTGTGCATTGTATTTAGCTGGCTCTATAACTTTTACTGTGGATGATTATGAAGTTTACTCTGTTAACACACAATCAAGCCAGAATTCTGGACAATCTAAAATATGTGAATTTAAAACTCTAAAAATCTTATTCTTATCGACATTAATTTTAGCCTAGAAATTAAACACACCATTTGTTCTTCATTCTGAAAGAAGTAAAAAAAATACCAACAACGTTCTGCAGTAAAAATGTACTCATCCGGCGAAGATTCTGATGAATGGGAAAGTGATAGATCCTTCCATCCCTCTGAAGAAGACGATGATTCCGATGATTACGATGATGATTATCGTCGTAACAATAGTGATTATTATTATTGTTCAAGTTGTGGAACCTATCATCCTCATAATAATAGTACCACTTTAAATACAAAGCCTTTTGGTTGGGCTGGTGCTTCAGCCTTCTCTAAGGATGATTTACTCTTTCAACATCCTATTTTCACTATATTGGAGGATGCTAAACGGCCAACACAAGGATCTGCACTTGTTAGAAATTATGTGAAGCGATCAATGCAAGCCTACTGGGCCAAACAACGTGAAGAAAGTAATAACAAGGAGGAAACAGAAGCATCTTCATCTATTGTCAATAATGTTCATCAAGTTGACAGGGAATTATTAGAAAAGGCTAAAATTGAATTGTTAAAGTATGAGAGGAAGGAAAAACAATCCGATGAATTGGTAGAAGAAATTATCAAGTTTAATCTCGAAGAAACTGATAATACAACATTTCTTGAATTGAACATTGACGGCAAGATTTATAAAACCACTAGAAAGACAATGATGAAGTATGATTCATTGATCAAGGTAATGATTGAAAACAAGGAAAGTGGAGGATTTGATATTGAAACAGATTCTGCAGGAAGAGTTGTTTTCCGTTCAGTTCCTCACTCAGACTACTTTAAACACATTCTCATATTTTTCAGAGGTGATGACGAGGAGATTACACCAAGTGATAAAGAACTTTCAGACGAAATTACTAGCACCATGAGGAAAAAGTTCAAGTTTATTACAGAAGGATTCAATTTGGCAAACTATTTGGAATTTCATGAAATTTGTAATTACTTTTGTGTGAAAGATTTGTTGACCTTGATTGAGAAGAAGGTTGAAAATTTCGAAAATCCATTAGGATTAGAGGTTCTCTCTGAAAAGTACAGACACATTGAACAAGAAAAAGAAGAATATTATAAAAAAGTCAAGGCCAATGAAAAAGCCATTTCTCAAGCTGATGAAAAAATTAGAGAACTCATTAAACAATTGAGGTCAATGGAAGAAAAAAAGTCTAAATTGCTAGTTGAAAAGTTAAGATTGAAGAAAGAACAGGATTTAATTTCGAAATTGGTAGAAATGAAAGCATCATTCAAGAATGAGGATGCGAAATCCACCTCAGTTGAAGAATTTGATATTGTTTTTAATATTGGTGGTGAAGATTTTGCTTTCAAATCAACTGAATTGCTCAAGTACGAATCTAGCTTACTTTACAAGTTAATGAATAAGAGTCAGGATAAGAAGTCTATCTTTTTGGATAGGGATCCTTCTATGTTTTCTTATATTTACAAGTTTATCAAGAATGAAACTATTCCAACTGGTTTGGCTAACCAAAAACAAATTAAACTCATTGAGGAGTCTAAATTTTTTGGTATTGATGCTCTCACTGTAAAGATAGATATTTTCAGATATCCTGTTGAAGATTTAAGCGAGGAAGATAGAGAAATTAGAGAAACTGAATCAATTCTTAGAAAATTGTTCAGTTATGACAGACAAAATCCTTTGATTGATGACCCTTTCGTGAACTTAATCTCGGTGTTCGATAATGTCACAGATTTTTATCCTGTGGAACAACCAACACTAACAAACATGTTGTTCGATTTTGAAAATAATTCTGAACTACATGGCAAGGAAATACCAATCATTGCCACAGGAAAGGAAGAATTTGATTTCAACTTCAAGTCTTTCACTGCAAACATTTTCGAAGAGTTGGATTGGAATGGAGTTTTCATTGCAGGTAAGTGACTAATTGTATTATTAATTTGCTCATTTAAATATTAGGAGGAGCCATTCAAACTTGTTGTAAAGCCCATGCGAGTATGTACAATAAGAAGATAGCAGCAACTATGCTTCAGTCGTCTCAGGATATTGACATTTTTTTGTACGGCCTTACTAAATCTGAAGCAGAAGATAAGATTAGACATATTTATTCGTTGGTCAAGAAGGTGAAAAAGGATAATTTTATTGTTGTCAGAACAAAATATACCGTAACATTCTGTGCCCCTGGCATACCTGCTATTCAAGTTGTTACCAGATTATATAAGAGTTGTGCAGAGGTCTTGATTGGTTTTGATATTGATTCTTGTGTAAGTAATATATGAGTTCAATCACAACGAGACTAATTCTACTTTGGACTGTATTGTGGAATTTTTGAAATAACAGTGCGTTGGATATGATGGAAACAAAGTGTGGTGTTTACCAAGATTTAGAAGAGCATTTACTCGTCGTTACAATCTTGTAGATATTGAAAGACAATCACTTACTTATGAATTAAGACTGCGAAAATATGCTTATAGAGGATTTAGAGTTATGGTTCCAGGATATAAACCAGAACTTGTAAAGAAACCTGGCTTGTTAAGTCACTCTTACTATTGGAAACAAAGTGACTTGAATGGATTAGCCTTATTACTCTACTACCAGGCAGATACTTCTGTTATTAATCCATTTACAGCAAAACGAAACGACAATATTTCCATCTCAAGCGAATCCACTGATTCTGAAGAAGAACAAGAAGGAAAGCATTCAGATTATGGAGACTTTTTCTGTCACAAAATCATGTCATACCCGTTCCCATACATGATGATCTCCTACAAAAACTTTATTCAAAAACACAAGTGCCACTTTGTATGTGCACTTAACGATGTGGAAAGCATAATTGACTCGAAAGATATTCTAACTTCTAATCATACCATTTCACCAACCATTGAATGGATCACTGAACAACCTCATCGTCAATTATTGGGATCTCTTTTCCCTGTCTTTGATAACTTTTATGTTTGTGCCTATGATGCTCACTACAGAAAGAAGAAGGATAGCTCTCTTTATTAAACTTGATTCATTTCATCGTTCAGTATGTTGGAAGTATCTTTTGGACTCTTTGGTGTTTTAGGCTCAGAAAAGCTTCCACTCAATTCTCTCCTTGTCTTTCCCAATGATGATATGCTTGAAGGAGGAGGACTTTTTGATTTGCCAATAAGTATATCATCAGATCGGTCAGTTCTCTCACTGTGTGATCGACCCAATGTGAAAGGATGAGGTTTAAGATAGGCATGGGTGGGCGATCGTTGAATATCATCACCTGCATTACTATTACTCTTTCCTCGTCCACTAAACCTTATCACTCTATCGGAAGAGGAATTTGTATCTACATTACTACCAGCAGCAGCTGATGCTGATTTCCTTGCTTCCTCTTGCTTCTTCCTTCTCCTAATATAAATAATGAAGGGAATGCACAGTAAGATTGAAATAATAACAGCTAATATTGGACCAGTAATTGAAAATCCAAACATTACTTCTCTAATATCAATTGCTGTTAAGGCTTGACACTGATTACCATCCCAACCGTCTTGACAATCACAAAAGTTTAAATATGTACAATTTCCATTACCTGAACAAACCCTCGGATTGCTGGCCAATAATCCAAAACATGTAGCTTCAACCATTTTCTATTCCTCCTTAATCATCAACTTTTTTAATATACAATTACTAGTATTAATTATTACTACTACAGAGAAAATAAATTCCGTTACACCTTAATACTTGAGCAAGAGTGTTGGAGAGAAAACGTTTCCCTTCTTTTTTTCTAAATTTTTCTCATTTTTTTGAAAGCCTTCTTTACAGTATTATTACAGTTAAATACTATTTAAATATTTAACAATTAAATATTCAAGAAAGACGAAGAGTAAACATTTCTGTTTAAAAACAATCACCTGTCATTTGTTTGAAAAAAAATGTCACAATTCATTCCATCGACTCTAACCATCCAACCAAGCACTTCATCATCATCTTCAACCACCACTTATTTAAATAACCAACAACAAGAACATTCGAAAGAAAAAGACAAACATTCGAATAGAAAATCACTCTATCTAGTCAAAGTCCATTTCGGTCAAGCACTTTCCGAGTCGGAAATTCCCGAATTTATCATCAAATCCATGAAATTTCTCCTAAAACATTGCTACAATGTTGAGGGATTATTTAGAATTTCAGGAAATGCAGCCGATATTTCAAAATTGAAAAAACAATTAAATGATGGACAAGCAATTGAATTGAAAAGTATTGAAAATGTGCATAATATTGCTGGATTGGTAAAGATGTATTTTAGAGAATTACCAAATCCATTGATGACATTTGAATGTTATGACATGTTTGTAATTGCAGATTCGATACCAGATGAATATTCAAGATTGGATTGTATAAAAAAGTTATTGGCCTATATTCCACCTTCGAATAGATTGTAAGTAGAGGTTCATGTTTATTGTTTGAGATTTATTAATGAAATAGAGTTTTACAACAATTATGTTTATTTTTACATGAATTGTCAACACACAGTTCAACCAATAGGATGAATTCAGAGAATTTATCAATAGTTTTCTCACCAAATATTTTAAGAGCTCCTGATACTGGAAAAAATGATCCTCTGGTCATGTCTCATCCTTTTTTAGAGTATCAATCTCCTCTTAATCATCAACAGTAGGTTTATCATATATATCACACATTTCAAATGAGATTCATGAAAATTTTTATTTTTTTGTGTGGAAATATTGAATAACAGATTATTACAGACCTATAGGGCAGGTCAAAATGTTGTCAGATCTCTCATTGACCATGTTGATTATTTCTTCATGAATGATTGCCTTTCCTATATTGAATATTTGGATACTACATTGAACACAACAATTGTTTGTTCATCACCTTCGGCTACCACTAAAATTTCTGAGGAAATTTATGGATCCAGTGTTGAGGAAGTAACCTCAAGCATCAAAAACTTATCTGAAAAGATTACTAGATTAATTGAATAGAATTTTATTTACAATGGATTGGATTTTTAATAACTCAAATTCTGAATTATAGTTTGAATATTCAAATAAATTTTTCCATATTAGAGTGTAAAGTTACTACAAATATATGGTCACAAGATTTGAGTTGGTTGTTCTTAAATATTTGTCACCATTCTGGTACTAACAATAGACAATTATATGGCTCTAGATGCATTGGAGGAATATCAACACTGTTTATTGGATAGAATCGAAATGAAAAGGTGACAGAGAACTGTTTTGCCATATATTTAAGACTTGGCGAAATATTCGAAAGTAATAAGAAAACTGTTTCTTTTAAGGAACAAAATATTAAGGCTAAGCATTGATACAAAACATAACATGTTTTTATTTCAAGTATATGAAGCAGGGGTTCCCGAGTGGTCAAAGGGGGTAGACTCAAGTTCTACTGCGCAAGCTTCGTGGGTTCAAATCCCACCTTCTGCAGCTTTTAATTATTATTTTTACCACTTGTCCACTTTTATATATTTATATATTTTATGATAGTAATTGAAGTCTATCATCATTTATTATCGAATGGTAGGGTGATAGTGTGTATTCACTGAGAAAATAGCCTCGGATTAGTTTTCTCCAATTTTTTGAATATTTGGAATATTTTAGAAGGAAAACAGATTGATGGTGGGTCCTTTAAAAAGACTACGTTATTCTTACTGTGGGAATATATTTTGGAGGCACTCAAGAAAAGTGTGAATTCAACACCTGATTCAGATTATTTCAGACTTCTTAGCCAGACATTCTTCTCAATACAAAACAATCGTTGAATAGAGATTTATAAACAATAGAGTTTTTTTGTAACCAGCCGTATTTCTAATTCTTTAAACATTGGAATTTTTCATTTCAAGATATTCCACATCTTTGTGCACAATCCAACCATTGAAGTTCTTTCATTCTGTTCTTGTTCAATTATCCGCACTGATTAACAAAGACCAAATGTACAATGTCCAAAATCTGTGGCTACTCTCTTTTTGGAAAATCATTCATCTTCAATCATACCAAAAAAATGGTAATACTAATATTACCATTCTTTTCAAATAATACCCAAACTATTTAATATCTTTTCAAATCTTTAAATACTGAAACATGTTTCACTTCTTGAACAAAACACTCAAAAAAACAATGAAAAGATTCATTTCAATCTTGTTGATTGCCTTGACTTTGGCCATTCTTGCACTTTCCTTCACTTCAGGAGTTTCTGCAGAAGAAGCAACAACTGCTGCCTCAACACTTTCCTTGTACATTAGAAAGAATAATAACAAGAAGAGAAATCTCAAGAAATACAGATTAAAGAAGAGAAAGAACAATAGAAAGCTCAACAAGTACACCTATGGAAGAAAGAGAAGAGGATGGAAGAGATTTGGAAAGAAGAGAATTATTAGAAAGAAGATTGATGTTTATGGAAAGAAGAGAAGATTTAATAAGAGAAGAATTGATACTTATAGAAAGAAAAATAGAAAGAATAGACGAGGTGGAAAGAATAAGAAAGTTGATATCTACAAGCGTAAATAATTGAAAAACAAATCAAATTTCCTTAAAAAGAATAAATTTTTAAATCAATTTTGCTTTTAAATTTAACATTATTTAGTTGCTTTTTTGTGGTTTTAAGGGTTAGAGAGTTTCTCTCTATTTCTGCTTAAACTAAGCTTTTAATTGGACGGGAAGCCTGCCAGGAATATGGCGACTGTATGAACAGTGAAGGCAACTAATCTATTGATTGTTGGTTCAGTAAGTTATTGTTTAGAAAAGATTGCAACCTGACCATCTGTTTATCTCCTTTGAATTTGATCTATTTAGAAGAGAAAGATTTCAAAAAAGACTACAGCACCACAGGTTCCCAAGTTGTCTCCAACCTCAGTACTGATGTGGCTCGACGGTGCTTAACTTCTCAAATCGGACGGGATGAGGTGCATTCATCGTGATATGGCCGTAGCCATTCTTATCAAAATGTGAAAGACAAATCAAATTCATACAACTCTTTGCTGGAAATATGATGGTAAAATATTCTTGTTGGGAGGATTGTTGGATATCTTGGAAAACTTTTGGAGTGAAACAATGAGATGAATAGTAATGTTAGATAACATCCAAGTGATGTATTTATTATTGTCCTGATGAAGATTTATCAAGTAAATAATGAATGAATAATGTTTGGAAGCATGTGAAAATTCAACTTTATCATCTCTGGAAAATAATCGAAAAACATTGGCAAAACATTCTTTATGATGTGGTACAATAACAAATCTTGTGCCTCCTCTTGAAATTGAACAGGTTTACCAAAAAGTGTTTTTCACTTTGATGAAATTAAATTTTACTTTATCTTCTCCAACTCTACATGTGCTTGATGGAAAGTTTTGAAACTTTCTGAGGTGATGTTAATGAACATTTAGAACATGCCCATCGTCTTCTTATTGTCTTGTCTGATGTTTTTCATGATGAAAATATTAAAATTAATAAATTGATGAAATTCTATTTCAAGTAAAAGAATGGCATCCATTTACTTGTTATATTTCTGATGATTATCATTCAATAAAGTGAATTTTACCTCTCCAATTGAACAAGACTCGCCATCAATTTAATCATTGCCTTTTAAAATTTGAAATTCATGTTGAAATTTAATAAAATTAATTTCTATACATTCCAAATGATCGTATCATGTTGTGTTGAAAATGGTTTTGGAAGTGATGAAGAATTGCCTTTGAAAATCATCCATGATGAAACATGTTGCGAATTTGATGAAATTTTTCTTGTTAAAATATTTTTTTAAAATCATCAAATTTCACTCATCACTTTTCTTTCCATATCAAAAAATCGTCAAATATTTTGATGTAAAGAATTAAAGATGAAAAAATTGTAATAATCTATCTAGATGAGCATTAATTTCATTGAATGAGCTGACTTAAGAGAGCAACAATAGGATTAAAGATCATCAACAAAATCATCATTGAAAGTATTCACATGGAAATATTATTAGATGAAAAAATTGAGAAACTGCAACGTGATCCCTCGGATCAAATCAAATTCATCATAATTTTAAATATTCTCCATTGAATCAAAATGTATTGCTGCTATTAGCTGATGTGCAACAGTTGTTGCGTGAGGATTTGTGTCTCAATTTACGGTAATCACTGTAATGAATAGACCTTTTTTGAAGTGGACGTTATCATTCTAGACCATTCACAACAATGCAGCAATTGAAAGAGTTTGTTGAGCCTCACACCAAAATCCACGCATGATAAGGCTCGCGCTTAGTATCTTTCCAGATCTCGGTGATCCATCACCTTAGTGCGCTCAAACATGTCTGAACAGAGACCCAAATATCAACCCAAAAAATCAATATCACCTTTTAAAAAATTCTCATAACAAACTATACAGAAAAGAACAACCAACACTTCAACTGTAGATAAACCGTTGTCGCGCCACAAGATGAAAAGCCAACAGTTGCATGTTTCAACAATGCGAGGAGATGAAATTAACTCTTCATCGCGTTGGCATGCGAATAGGAATGGTGGTTTGCTGCTGATCATTATGACATTGTGCTGTTTACAAGCCTTAATGTTATTGGGAAATTTGAGTGTTGTTGAAGGCGCTTCTACTGGAAACATATATTACAAATTTGATTTGGATGTTCAGTCTTGGATATGGAACAGATTGAACTATAATAATGGAAATGTTGAAAGTAAATATCTAAGAAATGATACTGCGAGTAATGGAGGAATTGTAATATCATCAAATATTGACATGTTGAACATTATTAAGGCAGAGACTTTTGCATTGAACTTTACAACCTCAGATGGAGATTGTTCAGTTTTATCAAATCCAGTTTTAAAAATTGATATGGCCAATTTCAAAATTGTCCTGAGTTTATTTAATGGTAATGAGTGGATATCCATCGAGTCCGTCTCTGGTAGTTTTAATAATTATTTGGAAGTAACTATTTATCAGAACAGCGTGTATTTGAATCTTAATGGATACATTAATTCTCGTATTAATTCATTCTCCTCTTTGGATTCGTTTGTAAATTTCATTAGTAACTCAAGCATGTTTGTCATAGAGCCACATGTTCAAATTGAAAAGTTGTCACTTATTTTACAGACTAGCTCTCAAAAATCATGTTTTGGTATTTTTGCTGATGAGCCTGGAGTGTGTAGCGGAAAAGGAACTTGTACTGATCAAGATGTTTGCCAATGTGAAAACACTGGCGATTCACCAGATAGTGAATGTAAACCAACCTCGACAAGATCTAGAGTGGGTAATTTTTGTAATATGAAACAGGACGGTTATTGTTACGATATGTTAGACAACAAATTAGATTATACTAAGGAGACTCTACTTATGTACAGTTACTTGCATGATGGTCCTTTTTGTTCTAATATTATTGATTTTTTCAACGATGTAAGCTGCCAATCTGAATCATTTCGAATAGGGCAAGCCATTTATTACGGAGTTCCAGCTCACAGCTCATATTTTAGCGTACCTTCTTCAGCAAGCGATTCTTATAAGGGAGAGCCAGTTAAGTTGTATCTGGTTGACAAACTTACTGGTGCTTCTTTTCCTTGTGAAAATGTAAAGCTCACTCCTGGCCTTGATAATGACTTCTCTGTTTCCCTTTCTGAAGACTCGTATTGCTCAATTACGGATCCAAATATTTACTTGCTACTTAGTGGTGAGTTTACATTCAATTTCTACTTTTCTCCGTTGTCACTTGAATCTGCTATGACCCTTTTTGATTATGTAAACCGATTCAAAGTTTTCATTAGCTCAGAAAAGTTTTTGGTTGTGGATTTGTCACCTATTGCAGAAGGAAAAAGTATGGTTTTGGATCCAAACCTTAAAGTCAACAGTACATATCAAGTAACGATTACTAGAAACCAAAATATGGACGGTACTGACACTTTCGAGACTCGTGTTTATAGCTACCAAGGCTATTTATCCACTAATATAACTCTTTCAGCCAACGCAACTGTTGACAAAGTAGTTCAAAGTGCTTCTATTGGAAGAAATTTCAAGGATGGGTTTTTGTGGCAATTTATTGGATCATTAGGTGGTTTGAAATACTCTCCAAAATATTCCACCCCGTCAGAAATATTCAACAAACCCATTGTAATGTGTTTTGGGAAAGAATCAGCTGATCCAACAGTTTGTAGTGGCCATGGTTCGTGCACGAAAAACGATACCTGCAATTGTTATAAGTTTTTTAAAGGCGATAAGTGTGACTACGAGGTAACATGCAGGGGAATTAGTGGAAACAGTTCTCTGGTTTGTAGTGGAAATGGTTATTGTGATGAGATTACGGAAAAATGTAAATGTAAGACACCATATTATGGTGTTTCATGTCAGATAATAGATACAACAGTAGTCCTTTTGGGTGGTTATATTGGGCTTAAAACAAATTTTGAGGCTGACCTTAGTTACACAATGGAACCTATTGTTATTAATTTTACTACCAGTTCTTCAAAAAAAACCAGTAGCTCAGAGCAAAAAAGACTTTCCAAATTTAAAAACAATCCTGTTTCTTATGAGTCATTTAAGGATAAGCTCATTACATACCAGGTATTCAAAGGCTCACTATTGGTTACCGTTGATCAGTCATGGGCAAGTTATGACCTATCTACACAACCTGTCTTTTACATTTCATCTATTTCTCCAATAGGAATCTGGTCTCTACAAGAATTACATCTTCAAAACTATTTAACCACTGGAGGTCCAACAAACTCTCCAAGATCATTAAGGTTACTAAGCAACGGTCTTCAGTATTTTGTATTGAATTTGAATGACAACAATCTATTAATAGAAAGATTTAACTCAGATAAGCAGAAATACAAATCTTCCTCAATTAGTAATACACTGTTCACTCCAGACCTAATAAGATACGGACAACCTATAGTACGAAGTGACGGCACAATCAATGTATACATGCCAATTATCGAGGAAGGATCAAATCAAACTATTCTTATTCTATCCTTGAATCAATATGATGAAAAATTGGATTTTTTTACAATATCCAATGATCCACAGATAATACCATATTTCTCAATTTTTAATGGTACAGAGGAAAGAATAATTACATACAGTGAAAAGGGCATTAATGTCTACTCTCTATCTCAGATTTTCGAAGTACGTAAATTGGCAACAATCCCTTGGCCTTGGGAACATTTTTCATTTGCTACAGAAAGATATTTACTTACCGCATTCCAAACAGATATATCCATTGGTATTTACTATAACGAGTTCGTTACTGTTTATGCATTTCAAACTAGCCAAATATTATTTATTTCCCCAAGTGATCTATCATCCAACGAAAAGAAATCACCAGACTTGCCACCTCCTTCCTACTATTTTTATGATAGTGAAAAATATGTTATTAAGATTCCTCCTGTTGCCAATGATAATACTACTAATTGTACAACATTTGACAACACAACTACTAATTGTACATATGACAATACAACAATAACTAATTGTACAACATGTGGCAACACACCTATTCATCTTGACTCAACAAACAATTCGAGTTACGTAGACAATTCAAAAAGTTCCAACACAACAACATATTACAACTCAAATGGATCATCCAACTCTACTGGTTCTAATGGAAGTGTTATATGTACTCCCGATGGTCAGTTTGAAGATTTTGTTCTCAATCTTGAAAAGAAGTATAATAGCAAGTTTTTACTAACTTTAACTATAAGAAAAATTAGTGTTTGCGGCTACTATTTCACTTACAAGAAACAAAATCTTACAGAATTGACTATTTCTAGACCAATGCCAGGCACTACAGATTCTTTTCTCGATAAGTTAGTGAAAACCCAGAAAATGAATGATACGGCTATTATCACTATTGATACTTCCTTAATTGATGAACCAGTGCCTAATGTATTTATTGTAAACCCCACAAGCCCTGTTCCTGTAAATGTGACTCTCACTATTCCAACAAATAACGCCACATCGAGAATTCTTTCAAGTGGAGAAGACTTCTATGCGTTAGTTTTGGATGGAAATCAATTGATTGTTTATTATTATCTCCCAAATGACTTTAATGTACCATTTAGATATTCATACTGTCCAGGTGTCTTTACACCAGAGCAAATAAGATATGGTACTCCTCTTCTTAGAAAGAATGGTGTTTTAGAATTTTACATGCCAATTATCGAAGAGAGTAAATCACAAGTTCAAACCATTCAAAAATTATCATTAACTGGAGGTTCAAACACTGTTTCATCATTTAAAATAGCAAATAACCCAAATGCAATTCCTTACTTCTTTATCTTTGATGGTTTTGATGAAAGTGTTGTAGTGGTTAATGAAGAGGGATCTTTCTTCTATTCAGTTGTAGTTAATGGGACTTCCTCAGATACTGAACTAGCTATGTATTATAATAACACAAAGATGAGTTTAAAAAATTCTACAAGAGTTTACCAAACTGATAATGCTATAGTTATTTCACAAGCTGATGGTTCAAGTATACTTACACCTTCTGATAAATTAATTGAACCAGTTGAAAGAAAGATCAACACAGTTTTATTGCCAAACCCTAAAACACTCTATTTTGATGATGCTATATATCAAGTTAAAACTAATGAATCCTCCATTAGTAAGGGTAGCAATGATGTGGACAAAAATTCTGAAGGAAGTAATAATCAGACAGTATCTAATACAGCAAGTAACAATTCAACATTGGGCTCTCAAAACACAACATCATCAAATAGTTCACTTTCAGGAACCTCTACTGGCTCTACTAATTGTACAAGCAGCGATTCAACAAATGACACTTCTTCAAACAATAACACAGAAACCTTCTCTGATAGTGGAAACAATGATACAAATAGCACAGGAGAATCCAGAACTACTGTTTCAAATAACACTGCTATCACAAACAATCAAACTCTTGAAAATAATTCATCCTCATATTTGAATTCAAATTCTTCGAATGGAATTATATCAAATAGCAGTAACATTTCTAATAGCACCATTAACTTTAATTCTAGCACTTTACAAAATAATACAGATCAATTAGGTGGTAATACCTCTATCAGTTCATCAAACAATACCTCATTGAATAATCAAACTAACATTTCAAATAACCAAACAATCTTTGGAAAAAATGAAACAAATAGTACAGGAATAGTAGATACATTAGGTTCTAATAATACTGTTTCAAATAACACTGCCATGACAAATAATCAAACTCTTGAAAATAATAATACTGTTTCAAGTAATCAAACTTCCATTTCAAACAATAGAAATGATACATCAAATAGTGGACTCAATTCAACTCTAGTTATGAATGTTACCTCTTCTACCAATTTTAAAAATAGCACTCAAGATTCAAACTATACTATTGGTATTAATGAAACATCAACTGATGGTTTAAACACTTCTCAGGTGGTATCAAATTTAACTGGTTCAGAAAGTCTTAATAACACAAGCGAAAGTTCAACAAATTCAACGCTTAATCAGACGAGTAATTACAACGAAACTATTAAGAATCAAAGTGGTTCGTCCAATACATCACTTGATTCTGCAACGGTTAATTCTACAAACACAACCAATGTTGTTAATGAAACTATCATCCAGAATCAAACAAGTGTTCAAAATGGGTCTATTATTTATTCTTCCAATAGTACTAATACCAACAATACTAATCAAGAAAGTGAAGGACATAACTCCACAACAATTCAAAACGGAACAATTAATTCTACAAACTCTCTAATTAATGTAAATAGTAGCAATACTATTAATAACTATACATCAATGAGTAATGACACAATGATTCAAAATTCCACAAACAATAATGCAACGTCTAACTCGACCATTAATTCTTCTTACAATAGTTCTACAACGAATAGTTATTCTAATTTCACTAATTCTACTCTCAATAATTCAAGTAATGATAATACTACCTGGAATTATAATTCCAATTCAACAAATAATCATGGTATAAATAGTACTATTAATCAAAATAATTCAACAAGTAATGGAGCTACAAACACAACCAATGTTTTTAATGAAACTCTCAACAAGAATCAAACAAGTGTTCAAAATGGATCCATTATTTATTCTTCCAACATTACCAATAATTCTAATTCGAATGGAAATAACTCTAATTCTACTGTCAATAATTCAAGTAATGGAACATTTAATGTAACTAATTCTCATGGTAACAGTTCATTGCTGAACAACTCTGACTCATCAAACATTACCTCTATTGATAATCATGGTATAAATGGTACTATTAATCAAAATAATTCAACAAGTAGTGGTAATAATTCAATTATTGACACAACTAATTCAACAAGTAATATCAATAATGGAAGTAGTCATTCAAATCAATCAAGTGTGATATCCAATTCCACAACTGAATCGCTATCGAATAATTCATCTAATATTTTGAATTTTAGTAACATTTCTACAAATAGTTCTACAAGTAATATTACTAATTCTAATGGAAACTATTCTACTATTACTTCTAATTCTACTACTATCAATACAAGTAATGGAACATTTACTAATAGTAACAACACTTCTCAGAATTCATCAAATCTTTCCTCCAATGTCTTGAATAACTCAACTTCCAATTATGATACTTCTAATTCCACCAATGAAACCAACTATGGTTCAAATAGTACAATTCTAGTTTCTAATAATACTTCTTCACAAACTAATAATTCAACCATCTCTAATTCAATGAATAACTCATATCCAAGTGTATCCAATAGTTCAAATAGTAATACCAATAGTTCTAATAATTCTAATAACAGTACAATTGACGATTCGTCACCAACAGGCAATAATTCCAGTCAAGTTAATGGTACTACTTCAATGTCTGACAATTCTACATTATCACACAATAGCTCAAATTCATCCAACAATACTACTGAATCAAATAATGGATTTAATAATTCTATCAATTCAACCAGTTCAAATAATGGATCTAATACTTCTCAGAGTTCTAACAATTCAACCAGTTCAAGTAACGCATCTAATTCAACAATTGATTCTAATCATTTTACTCCAAACGAAACTCTTAATACTACAACACCAACATCTAATTCTGGAAATAATGATCCAACAGCTCCATCAATTCCTAAAACGTACTGTTTTGGTGTTGAACAAACATCTAATTTAACATGTTTTGGAAATGGAATTTGTATTTCAAATGATACTTGTTCATGTTTGGAGAATTATATTGGATTGAATTGCTCCATTCCAGTTTGTTTTGGTACACCTGGAATTAATTCAAGTGTTTGTGGAGGAAATGGTAAATGTATTGAAGGTAACTTGTGTAAATGTCATGATGGATTTACTGGTCAATTATGTCAATATCAAACCACAACTGAATTGTGTAAAGGTTCATTTGTACCAGCAGAACAAATCACAGTGATAGATTCTAACATTTATTTACAAAAATCGTTGATGGATACTGTTTGTGGTAAATCTTTGATATTACAAAGTACAACTTTATTAGAAGGTATTCCATCCAATGTTACTAATAGTAATTTATTGAAATATTACACTATTACAACAGATGTAAATACTGAAAGTGGTGACAAATTTTTAACTTTTGATACCTTATTATATAAGAGTAAGATTCCAAATTCTTTAATTATTTGGAAGATTGACAAGTTCAGTAATGCAACTCAAATGATTATTCCAATTATAAATACAATGGATAATGCAACATATGGTCTTGTCAAAATTATTGATAATCCAAATGGTGATTTACTTGGTATCACATTGAAAGATAATTCAACGAATGTTACAATCTTGGAAATTGATACATCAAGTAAGGAAGCAAATATTTCATCAGTTTTTGATAAGGGACCAATTTCATTCACAGATATTGATAAAGGAAATCAAGTTTTCAATCCATCAACCAATACAACAACATTCACCTTCTTCAAAGAAGGAACTTCAAATTCAAGTTTATTGGTATCAGTTAATATTGAAGCACCAAATGAAACCCCAAAAGAAATTGTCATTCCTCAAAGTACTCAGAAATATTTTACACTTGTTTTATATGATCATCCAGATCAATATTTATTATCGAGTGATCAACAAACAACAACTATCAGTACAATTGTTCCAGATATTGATTCATCAAGTCCAGAATTCAATGAATTAGCCTCAGATTCAAACTTTGTTGTTAATAAGAATGATTTGGTTGTTCTCACGAAAGATACTGAAAAGATTACAGTGACCAATGTGAATACAGATGTATCTTTGATTATTGCAGTTTCTCAATTAACTCCAGATTCATCAGTTTTTGATCAAAGTACTCAATTAACAAAATTCCAACCTATTGCTTATATTAATAATGATCAAAGTGAGGCAACAGTTTTATCTATTAGAAAGATTTATCCATTATATGTTCCAGTGACTGGTTCAATTCCAATTTATTTGGAAGGAAATTATGTTTTACCAGGAACAAGACCTTATTTAATTCTCAAATATGATCCTCTTAATTTGATTCTTGCTCGTTTACCAGTTCAAACCTCAGGAAGTAGAACAAGAACTACATTCAAGCCATTCGTTAATGCAAAGGATTTGATAAGCAACTTTCCCCAAGATTTGGTAATGAAGGATTCATTTAAAGTTTCAGTTCAAATTGAATTAATTAGTGAAACATCAGATCCAATACCAATTTCAACCGATACCGAATTGACATTGTATAGATTTGATTTATTGAAAGTTTTACCAAAACAAGCTTATTTTGGTGATAGGATTCTTGCAATGGCAACATTCTTCCCACCAACCAATAATGTCAATCTTTTCATTCGTCAACAATATTCCACTGAAGAAACTCAAATTGCATGCACAGTTCTCAATTCAACATTTTGTTCAGCTAAACTTCCATTATTGGGAACAAGTGATTCCATAATGAATATAAGAGCAGCTTTGATTCAAGATTCAATTTCGAGTAATTATGATACCAAATTATTTATCAGATATGTTGATCCAGAAGTTGTAAAAGTTACTTCTTTGGATAAATTTGATACAAGTATTTCACCTCCAGAAGATATTCCAGATCAAGATACAACACCTCCAATCATTCAAAGACAAGAAACAACTGAAACAGTTCAACCACCTTTGATCATTAAAATGAATATTGGTAAATTGAACAAATCAAAATGTACAGACAAACCAATTAGACAAGTTGTTGCATCATCAGATTTACATGATATCAGTAATATTGTATCACTTGATTTTAAATTATCACCATTCTCAAATATTGAAAATGGTAATTTAATTGAATTTTGGATTTCTAAAAAGAATAATGGAACATTCTTTGGTGGATTATCTTTTGAAAATGGAAAACAAGTTTTATCAGGAGGTGAATTATCAAGTGGAATGAAATCATCCGCCTCTTGTTTATTCAGTTCAGGTGTTTCTTACAGAATTTCAATGAAATTAACAGAGAAGGGAACGAAATGGGAATTGAAAAATATTAATCTTGATATGATTGATTGTAGTCTTAATTTTGTTTCTGATAATTCCAAAATTCTTGCCAAACCAACTGGATATCAATTTGGAATTGGACAAGCTTTTTCATGCGCTCAATTACTTTCTGGCATCTCTCAAATTCCTGAATTAACTGTGAGTAGTATGATGGAAGTTTGTGTCACTTGTGCAAAATCAGACTTCTCACTCACTCAAATTGATTATTTACCTTACATTGTAGGTGGCTCAATTGGTTTACTCTTGGTGGTAGCGTTTTGTGCCACTCTTGTAGCTGGTGTTGGATGGTATTTTATTAGAAGAAAAAAGAAAAATAATGTTGGAAAATATGTATTTTACGATAATAACACAAGTAGAGATAGCACTTTACAAGATTTATTCGAAAAAATTAACACCAACTCTTCAATTGATTCAACACCTACAACAACCACAGAGGACTTTAATATGGATGCAGAAGAAGATGATATTGGTGATTTTATAACAAGAGGTGTAAGCTATAATACTTGGGTATAAATAAATTTGTATATTATTCATTTAAAATCCATCAGTTTTCCACACGACATGCTTTTCCTCCTCAATTAAATCAGTCAAGGTACTTTTTTCGTGTGGTTTCTTCACAAGGTTGTACATGTATCCATTATCTGTCCACCAAAATTCTTGATATTCTTCCAATATTCCTGCATGAGTAAGACCTTGCAAAGATTGTCCTATTTTTCCAGAAAGGTTAAAAACAAACTTGGCAACTGGTCGAGGCAGAATAGCCGAAATTTGTGACAATTCCACAATAGTTTCAGATTGAGCATGGTCTATCAGTTTAAAGAAATATTCCAGACGTTTCTCAGAGTTTTCAGAATAATCACAAATAAACTCCTTCACTTTCAAACACTCATTCTTGTCATCAGGCCCAACAATGATATAAGCCTTCAACTCATCATTTTCGTAGAGAGCATACGAATTACATTGATGGGTTTTCGATTCGTGAACAACCCATCGATTCCAATACTCCTCCGATCTAATTTCCACCCCTAAAAATCCAAAATATCTACAATAATTTTCATACAATACATGAAGATTTTCATTCTTGAAATTGGTCACTTCAATTCTCACCACCTTATTTCCCACTTGTGCTGAACATGTTGGCTTACTCAATGCAAATTTCAATTTTGAGAAATGTAAAGGAATGGCACTCCATCCTAGTTTTCCATACAGTTTAGAGGCATCAGTGGAGGCATGTAATGATGATAATATTATTGCATCATTATCATGATTGCTTTTCATCTTGTCCACCTGCAAATTCAACAAGGAAGAAGCAATGCCCCTTCCTCTAAAATCACTTCTCGTACCAACCTCTCCAATTCCCTTACATGAACACATTCCGATGCTCGGCTTTTCTAATTCTTCATCATTATTAATTTCTTCATTATTATTTACTACTTTTTCACCTTGTTTTCCATTTGTTGAGTCAAGTACCTGTATGGATCGATGAAAAACCTTCACTGTACCCACAATTTCATTGTCTAATTTAGCAATCACAATATCGGAAGCTTTTGCCTTGGGATCATTGAGGTGATGAGCAAGGAAATATTCTCTCGTGGCTTTTGGTCGGAAAATCGAGTGGACAAAATCAAGCCACTTGTCCAGATCGGATTCTGTCGATAGGAATGAGAAGGTGATGATTGGAGTTGATTCGGAAGTTTGGCTCTTCATGATTTTTTTAATATTTATTTTTAAATAATTTTTAATAAATGTTGCGTTTACAAAAATATTGATAATATATTTAACAAAATTAGTGCTTGCTCTCGGGATGGTTTCATCATCCAATAGAATCCGAAAAACCAATTTTGATTTTTTTACAACATTTCAAAAAGAAAAATTCATCCTGCCAAACATCAAAAAAATCAAACTCAACAACTGACAACAATAATGCCTTCAAGAATTGCTCCACTCTTCATAGGTCATGGTTCTCCCAACCTCATAGCTCAACCCCTGCACAACATGTCCATATTTCTCTCCACTCTGTCCACACAAATCCATCCAAAAGCCATTGTCATATTCACAGCTCATTGGGAAGAATCCATTGAGAATAGAGGTGTGTCCATTTCATTCCATGAAAATGAATATAAAACAATGCATGACTTTCAAGGATTTTCAAAATTGAGTCATGTTTCGTATCCTGCTAAAGGTTCGCCCGAAACTGCACAATTAGTCGAAACTAAATTGAATCAAAATGGGATAAAAACAAGAAGGGAGTATGATAGAGGACTTGATCATGGGAGTTGGGTTGTTTTGGGACTAATGTTTCCAGATTCTAATATTCCAATAGTTCAATGCTCGATTGACCCAACAAGTTCAGCCGAAACTCATTTCAAAATAGGTAAAGCATTGAAAGAATTGAGTGAAATGGAAATATTAGTAATTGCAAGTGGTGGCACTGTTCACAATCTATTGGAAACCAATTCTAAAAAGAAAAAAACTGAAAGATGGGCCGAAGAATTTGACAATTGGCTAATTGACAAGATTTCACAATGGAATTTGAAAGAACTCTTCTCATACCGTGAGCATGCTCCTCATCATCAATTGGCAATTCCTAGAAGTGAACATTTCCTTCCCCTCTTCATAGTCATGGGAATGGCTCAAGATGAAACAAGTGGAAAGGTTCTCTTTCGTCAATATGACTTTGGCTCACTAAGCTACCTGAGCTTTTCCTTCTAATTCAAAGACAATTCAAACCACTTTGGTTGTATAAAAATTGTATAAAAATTCTCTCAGGTTGTATACGCCTTTTAAGGCAGATTTGCTGTTAGTGGTTTGGCTTACTCAAAAGTCCATTATATACTGCACTGTATCAATGAATGTGCAAGTAATATCTTCGGGAAAGGCTGCGCATTATCGTTCTTAGATAACCGTATCCTTAAATCCAATTCCTTAATTACGATGGAAATCTACTCCTTTTGGGCATTGTAGATTATCTCCATTATTGAATGGCTCTTTCAGTAGCCAACACAACAATAAGGTTCAACCCAACTGATATCTTCCACCTGGAAATCAAGCAAGTGGAAGGAGAAGGAACGACTATAACTTCTCTCATCACTCACACAAAATGAACAAACTCTTCAATCATCATCATCACTCGGTGGAATTTCTCTACCTTTTTATTGTTATATCATTGTTGGGAGTTACATGTTGTTTTGGACAAGGTAGTATATTTCAAGATAATGATCAACCAGATAGATTATCAATGATGAAATTGTATAAGAATAAATTGGATGATCAATTGGATAATATCAGAATTATGAAACAAAATGTGATGGCATTAAGGGATGCAAACGATATCATTACTCCCTATGTTGATAATTTAAATATTGATAAGGTTCAATTACAATCCATCATGGACAAGGCTACTAGCGATTTAATTTCCCTCATCCGACAAGAACAAGATTTATTGATGAAACAACAAATTATCGGATCTTCCATTGCTGTACTTTCTCAGAGAAGAAATGGTGCTGATTTATTAGCAGATCAAACACAATTTAACTATGTACCAGGTACTAAGTGCATTTGTTTTGATCTTAATTCTGGAAAGTCGTGTAAACCTGAGGAAATGGCCTCTGAAAATTTATTCTCAATCAATGAAACTCAATGGTATGATGGATCTATTGTGAAAAGTCTCACCTCTGTTTCGAACTATATCCCAACTACATGTAGAGAGTATTTGACCAATTTTTATGTTGGAAAGACAGGAAATGGATTGTATATTGTAAAACCCTCTGCTGAATTCCCAGCATTTCCAGTGTATTGTGATATGAGTAAGGGAGGATGGATTTATTTGAATGGAATTCAAAATCATGAGACTCCTTTCAAGCAACCAATTACCCCTATCACTCCAGATCTTGTGGAATCAATTGAATTTAGATCATTGATCAAGTTGGCTAATCAAGTCAAGTCAATGGTTGGTGATGAATGTGCAATTTCATATGATCCTGATGATTATCATGAAAGGACAATGAAAAAGTTGTGTACCGTTGATGGATTTTCCACTCCAGGTAAATTTGTCAGTTTCTTCCAATATTTCATCAGATAAACCTTAAGAACATTCTTAATAAAATAATTCAAGCTTTCATTACTTTTCAAATAAATGTATTGTAAACTTTCTCTTGAACGAGGTACACTTGGACTTAATTGATTAGTAGATGATATTGTCATTACAAAATTTAACGGTTAGACTTCCAGTCTGAATGTGTTTGTTGAGAAACAGCTGTTCCATTGTATTAAACTATTTTGTTGATTTTTGATTGGCATAGCTAAAATTTTCTATTCGAAACTTCCAGTTGGGACCCTATTTCGCTTGCACTTCCTTTTCCAAACCTCAGCCAAACTAAACTTGTATTTTCTTCTACTAATTCATCAACTGTGTTACACAGAACCTTTCAAAATGACCTATTCGAAAACAATGTCGCTAGAATAACAAATACTTTCATTTTATCCAGCAGTAAACCACTGCCATTTTTTGCCTACTAGAACGAAACATCAAAAAAAACAAACACAGCCATGAATAAACAATTCACAGTTAAATTATCTGTTCTGCTGTTGCTGTCAGTAATTTGTAAGTTTTCATTTGCTTTGACAATTGACACTGTTCTCATTAGACATGTTTTCTCAACATGCAACATGCCTCCAATCGGCTTATCCCTTTGGAAGCGTTTACAGACCATTCTCTGCAAGCTCTCCTTGGAATAGTCGTCCAGTCAACCCAGTTTTAGACGATACCAAAACTATTCCAATATCAACAATGAACTTTGTCCCAACAGTCGCCGAAGGAATTTTTTCTACTGGAGTTTTCGTTTCCTCAAAAACTGATTCTCCACTTACAGTTTATGGTTCATCTAGTTCGGGAATTGGCGTACCAGATATTGGTGGATTTGCTCCAAATATTACAATTCCAAGATGGCCAGCCAATACTTTACCAGCTAGCGGAAGTGATGGTAAGTTTATTTTCATTCTTGTCAAAGTAATGAGTTTTTTTTGACATGTGTCAAATTTGGTATTTTTGGAAATAGGTCACTGTGAAATTTTTGATCCAATTTCAAACGTTATTCACTCATTCTGGCAATTAGTCAAAGTAAATGGAACATGGTGTACTACTCTCTATTCATGGACAGCTCTCGATGGTTCTGGATGGGGAAATCCAGCTCAATTCTATCAAGGAGCCAGAGCCACAGGGGTTGCAAGTTCTGCAGGATTGATTAGAAAACATGAAGTGGATGATGGCGATTCTCAATATAGACATGCATTGACTCTTTCCATGACTCACAATGGTTTGTCCAATAATCCACCTTACGTTTGGCCAGCCACTGTATCTGACATTGATTATCAAAGCAATTATGGATCTATTCCAGAAGGTAGTTTATTGATGCTTCCTTCCACATTTAACGTTTCTGCCCAACTTACTATTCCAAAATTGAGAAAAATTGCAGAAACTTTGAAAACTTACGGTGCCTATGTCACTGATCGTAATACTGGCACACCTTATGCCATTTTCGTTGAAATTGGAAGTAATTACACATTGCATCCAAATGGTTGGAGTAATCAAGCTGCATACGAATTGCAACTCATTAGAGCTGCTCTCAGACCTCTCAAATCTTGTTCAGGATATTTGAATGGTGAGGACAAGTTGATTGATTTTAATAGAAATCAGAATTTACTTTCCATGAGAGGTCCTTGGTTAGTTGGTTCTGGAGGACCTGCTGGATATTTCGATACATGGAGACAAGCAGTAGTCTTTTCAAACAGAACTGTGAGAACAGTTCAGAATAATGGAAATGGAAATGGATATACACCAGTTTCATGGGCCAAAACAGTTGCTGGTCAATTGTATAATATTACAGCTGTTACTACTGGAGGAGGACAGTTTAGATTGTATTTGAATTTGGCTTGTAGAAATCTTTCAAATATTGATACTGGAAATTTGAATAATGGACAAAGTTACGTATTTGCTTGGCCATCTTCTTATTGTTGGGGAAGTATTTCAGCAATTAGTGGAGTCAATCAGGAATCAACTGTTTCAGTTCAAATGTTAAAGGTTGAAGTGCCTAGCCCAGTTACTTCTTCACCAAAACCAGCAGTTTCTTCTCATTCCAATTCAAACACAAACTCAAATTCCACTACTACTCCTGATGCTATTACTTCAAGAAATGTCAATGATGCTCAATTGGTTCGTCTTCCAAACGTTTTAATTGTTTTAGTTTTGATCATCTTGTCCTTCCTTTATTTGTAACAAAATAAATATGGTATTGGTCAGCTATTGCTTTTTAGCAATTAGATATTTCATGTTATTTAAATATTGCAAATATCTTGATTTTTAATAAAGCCAATATTTTACATATGAACTAAAGGTAGCAGCAACATAAGTATTCAATCCATTTCTATTATTGATTTGGCACAAATAGTTCAGAACAGGATCCATGGTTGGATCATCAGCTCCCACACTACATCTCAACCCAAAACCAGCCTTGACAGTATTGAAACTTCCCTTAAAATCTTTCAATAAGTTGGATGAAATGACACTTGTCAATCTTATTGGTTTTTGTGTATAAGTTGTCAAATCAGCAGAGAGAAGATTACTAGCACTAGGGAGAGGAATAGAGCTAAGGAGAGATTCCAAGTACAAAATTTCATTCAATAGAGTCCAACCTCCATCATTCATATTACAATACACAGTAATCTCTCTATCCTTTGGCTTTACAACATACAATCCATTGCCAGATAATGCAGTGTTATAGAGTGATATCCTACTTTTTTATGTTGTTGTGTAGTCGGAATGTTTTTGAATATACGAAGTGTAATTGGATATTCGGAATGTTTTTGAATATGCGAGATGTTGCTGTGTGTTCAGATTAGAATGATGTTATTTTTTTTTAAATTGGTGGTTTATTCTAAACTATTTGTGTATCCATGCGAAATCTTTGTACTCCTTATTTAACGGTATTTTTTAAGTAATGGAGCCTGTGACTTTAAAGAGATCCAATTAATGTAATAAAGAGCTGATTTTTCCTGATCAACATATTTGCGTTAATTGGCTTCATAATCTATCTGATTGATTCATAAAAACCTCAATTTAAATAACTAATGGACAATGAATTAAAGAGTGAAAAAACCCCGCCAAAAAAATAACATAAAAAACTGGGATCGAGAAGCTCAGTTTACATCATCGTAATGAGAGCATGGTATAGGTTAATATTTCACAGATATAATCAAATATATGTAATAAAAACATTATGAAACATTCACATATTGAAACATTATAGTAAAAAGAGCGGAACCTTATCTATTATTTAGGTCAAGTTTCTTTTTCTTTTTCTAGGCAAATTTGTTAAACTCGGAGCCCATGCTTTTAAAGTCATCCAAAAAATGATTAAAAGCTTTGAAGATCACACAATTCATAAAATGTTTAGTATTGCTCCATATTACAGAATTTCTAACAATGAAAATGGTCTGGTTATGAAATAATGCTGTTCTATTAAAAGAATGAAATATTACCTGGAAAAAATAAGTATTAAAAAAAATTCATTCAAGCGCTGATTTCTATCTCCACAACAAAAAGGACTGAATCTGTGATTATTTCATGGTATATTGAAATCACTGTTTACATATATTAATTAAAGTCTCATGTGGTGAGGTGTCGTAAAACAAAAATTAAAGACCGAGTCCAACAAACACATAATTTTTGAATCAATTTTTGACTTATTAAAAACTTTGACTTATGTTTTCTAAGGTTCCTAATAACATAAACCAGTTATTTCATGCTACCATCGTTGTAGGTAAAGAAAAAGGTGTTGACTATTGGGGAAATCTGAATAGACGTTCATTCAGAAGCTTTTAGCATTCATTTATTATCTTTGTTCCATCATTCAGAATCTTTATTCAGGCCATTGGTTTCATGCAAAATACATTCTGAATTTCAGAATCTTTTCTTCCATTCTAAAGTCTTGTTTTTCGTTTAAAATGGAGTGCGCACATTTATTATGCTGTTGAATATGCGAAATGTTGCTGAATATTCGAAATGAATTAATACACACAAAAAAAAAGCTGAAATTCATAATGTTTGATGTACCACATTAACATGCCGCACATCTCTCTATAATTAAGATAATATTCTCTACATGTTTTTGGAACACTATTGGTACCAGTCAGTCTATTCTTACCATTTGAATACATAATGTATCCAGTGAACTCTGTTTGACTACAATTACCACCAAAGAAGCCCTTTCTACAATTACAAATGTCAGATGAAACACAAACTCCATTTCCTGAACAAACGGAAGAGTCAGAGGAGATTATTCCATAACATTTATAATATGTACATTCAATTCCTGAGTATCCCTTATCACATTGACAAGTGTCGACATCAGTACATTTACCATTTCCTCCACAAACCACTTGAACACCATCTTTGTATTTTCCAAAACATGTTGGAATTTCGCAGTTTTGTCCAAGTCTATTTTCGCAATAACTATCAATTAATTGAACTTCATTGGTCAATGTATTGATAAGAGTGGCAATATTGAAAATTTTGGTCTTTCTTGCTTGAATGGCCGATTGGGAAATTTGCATCTTTTCCTCAATTTCTAACATTTCTTCCATTTCCAAATAATTTGTTGCTAGTTTTGATAGTTCATCAATACGCTTAGCTCTTTGTGCAGAGAGAGTTTTCTTATTGTCCTTGAGAACATTTGGCAGAATTTTGGAAAAGTAATCGGTTGGGGAAGGAAGTTTTTGGCAACTAATTATGTTATTACAAAATAATAAGGTTAATAGAACAATGAGGCTGAGGAGAGCTAGTGTGAGTTGTATTCCTTTTCCTCTATTGTTATTACCGATATTTGATGTATTCATATTCCTTAATGATGATAATGATGAAGTGAAATTGATGCGTAGTGGTGTCCAAATCATTGTTTAACAATAGTCTTTTTTATGATTTGATGCTAGGACGAAGACAATCTCCGCGTTGATCAATATTATCATTGTTGCTAAGCAAAGATATTGTTGTGTAACAGTTCAGTTAAGGATGCATCTCTACAAATTCGTATTGAACACTACAGTCCAGTAATGAATGGACAGAATGGGTGTTTTGATCCTTTGGGAATGGACTTATTTTGGTGCATGATTACAGTATGATAATACAGCGAAAGGACTTTGTATCAAAGTTGCTTTTTGGTTTATTGATAGTATACAGGAATGAATGATTCAGTCAATGGGTAGACTAATCCCATTAGATTACCAGTAACTGAAGGTGTTGTGAAACCAACCATTAAGTGTGCAGCATCATTTCTACCCTTTGCATATACTTGTCCATTAGCAAAGAGGACAAACACATTATTTTCATTGACTTCACAATCAACAAATTGCTTTCCCTTGAATGCTTGTGGTTGATAAGGATAGTCAAAATTGTCTCCATTCAGAGCTCCCAAAACATATACCTCATTATTTGCAGAACTAACCAAAAAGACAATGTCTGTTGCAGGAGAGGTGCAAATCTTTGAGACTGAAAAATAGCTGGAGAAGGTTGTTCTACCAATCTTGGCATTTGATTCGGTAGCAACTCTTGCCAACAATGTACCAGTTGATCCCCATGAGTGAACCTTACCTGTAGCACCAACAGCATACAGAGTTTTCAAGGCTCCATAAATTTGAGAGAAAATCTCACCTGAAGACGATGCTTGCGTCTTGGCCACGACCCAACTTGTAGACGCAATATCCAAAGTCAATGGAATATTTGTTGGAGCAATTGAACCATCTCCAAATTGACCACTAAATAAATGATTAAAATCATACTGAAAAAGAAGTACTTACCCGTTGTTATCACCTGTGCAATAAATATTGGTTGCATTGTCTCTGTCAATAACACAGATAGCAGCACCATTTCTAAGAATTCCTCCAGCAATAGCAGAATAAGCCGGAACAGCTGTTTGAGATACAGCCAAGTCAGATGCGAATTTTTCAACACCATTAATTTGAATCTTTAACTTTCTGACCTTGTTTGAATTGTACGTTGATCTAATTGACCAACCACTATTACCGTCGAAAACCCACACACCCATAAAGTAAAGCTCCCCTTCCATTGAAAGCATGAAACAATCAAAGGTTCCATACTGACCGTAGTTGTTATCAATTGATTGATCACAAACAATTTTCTTTGACATAACGGCCTTACCAATAAGTCCAAAATCAAGTTTTCTCAATACATATGAAGAACCAGCTGATGCCTGTGGACCACAAGAACAGATTGAACCAATGGTGCCATCATTTCCTCCCCAATGCCATACGTCTCCCTTAGAGGTTACCGCATAAAAGTATGATCTTCCTCCATAAACTTGAGTTACAACATCACCTCCCAAAGGAGACATGTCAACAGCAGTTGGATAAGTTTGAATATATGAACCAGAAACGTATCCAGGTCTTCCATTTAGAAGAGCAGAATTGATTGCGCCATAATAAAATAAACTTCCATTTGGTGCAATGTATGTTGTTCCATATATGTTTGAAGCAATTCTCTTTAGCATTGGATTATATCCAGACATGGATATATTGACAGTAATAACTTCAAGACTTCTTTGAACAACTGCCATTTTCAATAACACAGATCTTTCATGTCTTTCCAATTCTTGATATTGATCAGAAACTTCTGCTCCAAGGGAATCCACATCCAAAGATGATACACCATTGACAGAAATGGAATTTGATGAAATAATTCCAGTTGCTTCCTTCAATCCTGACAAGGTATATTTTGCCAATCTAACATCCGTTAATTGTTTTTGCAAAGCTGCAAGTTGTGATTGAATGGCCTGCTTACTAACAATTAATTCAGTAGGTGAGGCGGCCATCACTAGAGAGGCACAACATCCCACCACCATTGCAATCCACATGGCCACTATTGTGTACGAGACGACATGTGATTCATTCCTATTGGAGAACATCTTTTGGTTTTTTTTAATGATATAAAGCTGATGAATAAGCAAGCCATTCGAGAGGAGAAGGAAAAAAGAACCACTGATGAGGAAGATCAAGATGCGTTGTTGCATGTTGAAAGATTGCCAACGCGCGTGCATATTAAGGATAATGAGGCTATTTGGTGTTGACACAAAAAGCCATGCTGTTTCGCTCAAGGTAATCATTCCAGTAAATAATATTTCCTTAATAGTGATCCAGCTGTATACGAGAGTACAAACAACAACGGTTGCCCTATTGAAGTGGAAGATTGTGCAATAGTTGCAGCACAGCACAGCACACAACAAAGCCATTCAGTGTGTTATCTGGGAAGCCCTTGTTGAAGATTTCACTTGCACTAATAACCACTATGATATGATGCGTCTTTCCAAAAGAAGAGGCCAAATCTTGAGCGTTTGTTTGTGCCTCTCATCTCCTCCCCAATCCTTTATATTCCATCATCCCTAAAAAAATTACTGACCATATATCATCATCACAATGAAAAGAGTACAAGTGGTGAGCATGTTGATTGCTGTCTTAATATGTACAATATTGGTATTTGTTGAAGGTGCCGATCCTGTCAATTTGGTTTTTTCAAAGAATCAACAATTGCAAGTGGAGGAATTGTTCAAAAAGAGGGATTTAATCTCAACCTATTTGGACACTATTAATTCAGATCTTGCAGAAGCTATTACATCGAGGGATTTGGCCTCTCAACTCTCCTTTGCACAAGATGCTGCTGGAAAGGACTTTATCACAAAAATTGATGGAGTGACTGCTCAGGATGTGGATCAATTTGCATCATCCTTCAGTCTTCAATATCAAGAAATGGTAAATTACACCAACACTTTACAATTGAAAAAGAAGATTATTCTAGAATCTATCAAGGTACTTGATACTCAAATTATTGCACAATACAATAATGGAATAAGAATGAATAGATTTGCCTCCACTGAAATGGGAACTGTTGCTTTATTGGCCAACAATACTTTATTATTTATTGGAAAATTTGAAACTACATACAGAAATGCTGGTTTTAATTCTGCCGACTTGACTGCAAGAGTTATTAAAACAGTGGGATTTGTTGACATGTCTCCAATTGCTGGAAAGACAGTTGTGGATGTACAAGCTGTGGCTACCTATAACTTTGTAATTTTAACTTCTGATGGACAAGTTTGGGGCTGGGGATATAATTACGATAACACTCTTGGAGCAAATGTGGCTGGTACAATCAATATTATGAAAAACCCAGATTTTGGTGCTGTTATTCCTTCTCCAGTTATTAAGAAAATTAAGTGTAATGATAATTTCTATGGATGCTATATGATTACAACTGATGGTAGATTATTATTTATGGGAGCTTTTGAATATACTGCCATAGTTGAGCATTGGACTAGACCAAGAGTATTGTCTACAATTGTAGATGGGTTGAACCATGGTGTTGTGGATGTAGCTATTGCAACATTGACCTCAGTTCCAAAATCTATTTGTTTCATTTCTAATATTAATAGCTTGATTTACTGTACAGGTGATAACTCTCTTGGTCAATTAGGAGATTTAACAACAACATCAAGAATCCCAGGTGCTTCAACAGGAACTGGATCTCCAGTATTCACTTGGAAACAAGTTTCATCAGATGTTAAATTTGTTAAAATTCTTGGAGGATCTCAATATTTCATGGCATTGTCAACTGAAGGAAAACTCTACTCATGGGGAACTGGTGATTTTAGATTGGGAAGAGAATCTAAAATAGTTCCTTACCATATGCCAGCAAAAGTTCCAACTCCATTCATGATTAGAAATGTTTGCCTCTCTCCAAGTAAAACCACAACCTATGTCACTGACTTTAAGGATAATGTATATGTCATTGGATCCTACTATGGTGAAGATCTTACTCAATTCTATAAGGTTGCTGTATTGGGAGATCGAACTTTTCCAGAAATTATTTGTGGAGATTCTGGAACTTTCCTCATTCCATCATCAAGTACTTCCTCTATTTGGGCTACAGGCAAAAACACCAATTATCAATTGGGTGTTGATGCAGCAAATACATACAATTACTTTTTCGAAGCATCAAATGTTCCTAAACCCTATAATGTTTAATTAAAAACCAAAGTAAATATCAATCCAATATTAAAATTGGTTAAATTTGTCATCCCAGTCATGTTTGATTCTATTAAATTATTTAGAAATTTATCAAGTCTTCTACAACAACTTATTGTTGATAATACCACAAGGATGATCATTAATATTTTCATCAGGTTATTATTATAATAGATAGTATCAATAGAGTAAAATTCGTTGAAAACAAGATTATCACTCCCTTTCACTGTCTACACAATCTTCCATAACTCCATAATGTTTGCTCTCTTTAAAGTAGAAATGAATACGGAAGGAAAATAGAAAAACATCCATTTCCATGTGAATACTTTCATCTCGATGATGATTTTGTTGATGATTTTGTTGATGAGACCGATGTTGTGATGACAATTTTTAATCCTATTGTGGCTCTCTTAAGTAAGCTCATTCAATGAAATTAATGCTCATCTAGATTATTACTTGGCTTTCTCAATTTTTTCATCTTTAATTCTTTACATCAAAATATTTGATGACTTTTTGATATGGAAAGAAAAGTGATGAGTGAAATTTGATGATTTTAAAAAAATATTAAACAAGAAAAATTTCATCAAATTCGCAACGTGTTTCATCATGGATGATTTTCAAAAACAATTCTTCATCACTTCCAAAACCATTTTCAACACAACATGATACGATCATTTGGAATGTATAGAAATTAATTTTATTAAATTTCAACATGAATTTCAAATTTTAAAAGGCAATGATTAAATTGATGGCGAGTCTTGTTCAATTGGAGAAGTAAAACTCACTTTATTGGATGATAATCATCAGAAATATAACAAGAAAATGGATGCCATTCTTTTACTTGAAATAGAATTTCATCAATTTATTAATTTTAATATTTTCATCATGAAAAACATCAGACAAGACAATAAGAACACGATAGGAATGTTCTAAATGTTCATTAACATCACCTCAGAAAGTTTCAAAACTTTCCATCAAGCACATGTAGAGTTGGAGAAGATAAAGTAAAATTTAATTTCATCAAAGTGAAAAACACCATTTGGTAAATTTGTTCAATTTCAAGAGGCACAAGATTTGTTATTGTACCACATCATAAAGAATGTTTTGCCAATGTTTTTCGATTATTTTCCAGAGATGATAAAGTTGAATTTTCACATGCTTCCAAACATTATTCATTCATTATTTACTTGATAAATCTTCATCAGGACAATAATAAATACATCACTTGGATGTTATCTAACATTACTATTCATCTCATTGTTTCACTCCAAAAGTTTTCCAAGATATCCAACAATTCTCCCAACAACCAAATTTTACCATCATATTTCCAGCAAAGAGTTGTATGAATTTGATTTGTCTTTCACATTTTGATAAGATGCATGGCTACGGCCGCATTGTCGAGCCACATCAGTACTGAGGTTGGAGACAACTTGGGAACCTGTGGTGCTGTAGTCTTTTTTTAATCTAAGCAATATGTGAAACTCAACTTGGACAGAGAAATTTCATTTTTTTATATATTGCCGAATGTTTATTGATCAACCACAAGTTTCTCTTTCTAAATAGATCAAATTCAAAAGTGATAAATAGATGGTGATCAATGACTTTATTTTGAACAACAAACTTACTGAACCAACAATCAATAGATTCGTTGCCTTCACTGTTCATACAGTCAAAGACTGTAGCGGGATTGTCGCCATATTCCTGGCAGGCTTCCCGTCTTAATTGTTTTACAAATGAAATAACAAACTTAATTTTATGGAGACTCACAACTTTATTCTAATGTTAAATAATTATTAAAAGCAAAATTGATTCAAAAATTTAGACTTTTTAAAGAAATTGATTTCTGTTTCAATTATTTACGCTTGTAAATATCAACTTTCTTATTCTTCTTGTCACCTCTTCTATTCTTTCTATTCTTCTTTCTGTAAGTGTCAATTCTTCTCTTATTAAATCTTCTCTTCTTTCCATAAACATCAATCTTCTTTCTGATAATTCTCTTCTTTCCAAATCTCTTCCATCCTCTTCTCTTTCTTCCATAGGTGTCAATGTACTTGCTGAGCTTTCTATATGATTTTTTGTAAAATGACTTAGATAGAATGTAGTGAAGGGATGGAAAATCCTCGATCCAAATCCCTTGTGTGTGGGTTTGGGTTTGGGTTTGGGTATGGCGAAAACCCATTACCATTTTATTAATGGCCAATATTTAAATCTTGGATCTTATATATGTTAAT